ATTTCGTGCGAAAGGGTTGCTCCGGGACAAGTCAAATCGCAAATTTACCTCAGTTTTTGCCGATCGACCCTCATTTCGTGCGAAAGGGTTGGCGTTTCGTGACTCGCCGCCGGCACCACCCTCGGCCTTAAGAGAGAAAGATAAAAAGAAGGCGAGAGAGAGAAAAAGGAGAGAGATGTGAGAGAAGATGTGAAGATGAGCAGATGTGAAGATGAGCAGATGTGAAGATGAGCAGATGCGAGAGAAGGTGTGAAGATGAGCAGATGTGAAGATGAGCAGATGTGAGAGAAGATGTGAGAGAAGATGTGAAGATGAGCAGATGTGAGAGAAGATGTGAGAGAGATATGAGAGAAGATGTGAAGATGAGAGAAGATGTGAAGATGAGCAGATGTGAGAGAAGATGTGAGAGAGATATGAGAGAAGATATGAAGATGAGCAGATGTGAAGATGAGAAGATGTGAGAGAAGGTGTGAAGATGAGAGAAGATGTGAAGATGAGCAGATGTGAGAGAAGATGTGAGAGAGATATGAGAGAAGATATGAAGATGAGCAGATGTGAAGATGAGAAGATGTGAGAGAAGGTGTGAAGATGAGAAGATGTGAGAGAAGGTGTGAAGATGAGCAGATGTGAAGATGAGCAGATGTGAAGATGAGCAGATGTGAAGATGAGCAGATGTGAAGATGAACAGATGTGAAGATGAGAAGATGAGATACAGATGTGAAGATGAGAAGATGTGAAGATGAGAAGATGAGATACAGACCCCCACTATTGGAAGAACCCTGCGCTCAGACGCTCTCGGGAAAAAATCAGGACCAGACGTGAAAGGGGGAAGCAGTTGCAACTTGAAGTGGGCTATTTTTTTTTGATTTGGGAATTGAGTAGAAGTTCTCCGTAGCCACTTTGGCTCAAGAGGGCCTGGTTTTGCAACACCTAGCTGGATCTGTGTTAGGTATCCATAAAGGAAATACATACCACTTTTTGGTACGATGAACGTATATATATATATAACATATATACATGTGATATATGTATTTGTATGCATACGTGGATAACCGTGGACACACATATATATATACACACACATACATGCACTTGTTTCCATGCACATCATCGTTGATTTCTCACATCGCTGTGTATCGCAGGTCCTGAGTTTTCTGATGGGAAACCATGTGGAGGACCGCAACTGGTGATTTTCGCCATCATGTGTTGATAATCAACAGGGTTGGTTTACCTGTTTTTCGGTCAAAACAAAGCTGGCATTAACAAAAGATGGCTCAATCTTGGTGAAGAGGAAGTGAAAAGAGACTATTCCCTGCTGAGACATGTTTTGCGATAGGGTCTTCTAAGGTTCTCGAAATTGAAAGGGGTCAAGATTTGCTGTGCAGAGGGCATAGAGGACCTTCTGGTTCTCATAATCTGGATAGGAAATGAGGACCGTAAATCGTCCCAACTTTTTTGCCCCACTTCGACCCATCCCTGGCCATTTTTTCCAATGAAAATATGTGGATGATTCATCCCGACACTGCCCACCGCACGAGTAAGAAGGTCTGACCTCACCTTGACATGGGAGACACTTCTGAACCGATCCATTGTTTACTCTTAGTGACCATTCTTGGATTCCAGTAACATTTTGCAATGGATTTTCTTATTCTTTGAATAAATACTTGGATTTGCTGAAGAAATACCTGGATTTTCCATGATTTTCCTATTTTTCCAATCGGTTGATATGCCTTTTTTGGAATCCCAACAGGATCGTTTCTTGTTTCTTCTACATATACATATACATATACATATACATATACATATACATATACATATATATCTATCTATGTATCTGGATGAATTACAACGACCTCACTTGGACGTCACTGGAATGGTTGTTCAGGGTAGTGAACCATTATTCATATCCTTTTAGAGGAAACCCATGTTTTCCATCTTCTCCATTTTGTGTTTGCAATCGTTGCGTTGCTGGCGATGTTCCGCCTATGAGACCTGCGAGGGAAATGAGCCCTACACCGACCATCCGGGACCTGCGAGGGGATGTAAAGTCACAAACTTTCCTCGCCGAAACGGGATATTTCACTGAAAAAAACAATGGTTGTTTCAATCCTAAACTTCTGGATACTTTTGGATAATTTTGGGGCAACCCTTTGGTAACCAAACATGGCAACGGAACGTCAACTTTTTGGTTCGATGATTTCCCAAGCTATAAAATCACATTTATATAGGATGTGCAATTGCCATCTTTTTTGACCAGATGGTATATCCCATTATAAACCCGTTATATAAATCCCATTACATCCTATTAACATCCATTCACCCCATGTATGGTTGATAAGGCCCATCAATAGGGTAGCCCAAGCTGGCCCAAATACCCATCTTGTCCGTGCGGCAGACCACCCGCAAGACCAGCCCTGATTGTACCTTGGATAAAAACGACGTGTGGGACGGAGTTCTGTGGTGAATGGCACGACTGGTTTCAGCAAAGGAGGGGAGCAATGTAGGTATGGGTCAGCGAAAAACCTGCTACTCTGTTTACTTATCTCCTCATTCCAACAGCCGTATCGGCGGCACAACCCATTCCAACGTTGTAGAAAGATGTGACATTGTGTGACATTTTGAACTTGGTGAGCCCGGGGCCCGGTTATACCCATCGAACGGTTCCAAATTTCCTTGTTGACATTGCACTTGCCTGAGCGCCTGAAATCTACTTCTTTTTGATGCCCTTAGTTTAGCTACATAATTCCATTTTGTTTGGTTATTTGCCCATTACTTTTAGTGTTTGTGCTAATTACATTGATGGTGATGTTGGATGCATATAGCGATACACCGATACACCTGATATAATACCACAATTATATAATATGTATATATATAGATATTCCACGATATACCACTATATACCATGACATACCATGATACAGCATGAATTCCCATAACACACCATATTTTACCATGGTATACCATGATATATTGTGATGTCCAAGATATAATCGTTAAATCACCGTTGGATAACATCACACCCTGTTGGTTGTACATCCATTCTTTCCATGTTTTGAGACTCTTGAGCCATGGCTTGAAGGCTTGATATTTTTCATGGTGGAAAGAAAGACCCATGGCGTGAAAGACACATGGTTACCAAGTTGATGACATCAGCTTTGGGATCAACTCTAAATTGGAATCAGGCTGGTTATACACCCTACAAGTGTATATCAATCCAAATTCTGATGACCAGAGTGTGCATTGATGAGTCTGATTCAGATCATGTCATCTCTGGACTCTGATATTGGAAGTCTCCCAAATATCGGATTCTTTCAAACCAACAGGGAGAATATGATGATCTTATTCCAGTGTCAGTTTTTGTTTCACTATCAGCGTCCCACCCGCGGCACCGAGGCTTGATTCTGGCGGACCTGGAGAATGTGGAGGCAGCCGCCACCGCCATGGTACTGCAAGGCGCGGCCGTCGCGTCGTGTCGCGTCGTCGCGAGTCGGGCCAAGCGATGGCTCAAAAAATTGCCCAAAGCGTTGGCGAATCAAAGAATTGATGGGTTTAAGGCAGTTTACCCTCTGGTGAACTAACATAGCAATGGAAAATGGCCATAGAAATAGTGGATTTTCCCATTAAAAATGGTGGATCTTTCCATTGCTATGTTAGTTCACCAGAGGGTAAACCACAGGACATTTGGATACTTTTTTGAGTTGGATCGGGATTTTCGATGCTGGCGCATTCAAAATGTGGGTCAACCTGGGCCGATGTCTTGGGTTTCGATTAGAAACACGAAAGTTGGTTGATGCTTTTTTGTATCCTACAACAAGAGGGGTCCCAAGAAACATATATCCAAAAAAACATGGACACAAAAACTATATGTTTTTTTGCTTTGTTCGGGGTGCCTAGCCGAGATGCCATGATGGGATGTCATCTCAAACTTGGCCATCCAACAAGAATTTTCTGATCTCAGGGTCCCAAATTTTCTGGGGCAGCTCAGGGCCAGAAAGCTGTAGATATGGTGTAGTTTAGCTCAAACTTCGTGGAGTTTGAAGGTGAGGTAGGATGGTTTGCAGATTGAACGTCTCCTTGTTGATCCAAGACATACTGAAAAATTGCTGCAAGATTCTGGGATTTTGCGCACTTTTCAGGTTGGGATACCCTCTGGTTATGACTAACATAGCCATGGAAGCCATGGCCCATTGAAATAGATGGTTTACCGTTCTTAAACATGGCTGGATCTTTCCATGGCAAACTGTTAGTCACAACCAGATGGTAAATCAAATGCCAACAGTAGTGGCTGGTCCATCAACCTTTGGACTTGATGTGACTTGAGTCATCCCGTTTTAAGCCAGAAAAGTGGTGGCCCAAGGGAACGAATCTTCAGCGGAATTCGACCTGTTTCTACTCCCAAATATATATATATATAGGTGAATTTTTCGATGTGTCCGCCGGATTTGCCCTTCAATTCTCGTAACTGACACTGTGTTCTTGATAGTTCTGAATTATATCGCATGATTCTCCACTTGGTATATCTTGGTTACTGTATACATATACAGAATATATATATACACCTTTTAGTTACTAGAAGTACCACTACATATCCCATAAAGTGGCGGAGTTTTGGCCATCAGATGCAATGTCCCACTCTTAGTTTAGATATGTTTAGATTCAGGTATCGCCACCCGATCGCAGCATATGATATGTCCCTTTCAGGGTACCGTCTGGGTGCCAGGTTTATTCATAGCCATATATTATCCATATGAGTATCCATATTAACCATAGTAAGTGTAGTTCAGCATAGTATTATCAACATAGTAAGTAACCCATCTAGGGATCTGATATTGATTAATCACAGATCCAATAAGATACATATCAAATTATATATATATATAAGTAGATATACACATATATATATATATACATATGTATATATATATATACATATATATATATATGTATATATATATACATCCATGATGTATCCGTTATATGGAATGATATCCATTGCCATGGCCCGTGGCAAGTTCTACCATTGGCCACGTTGCCACGTTGCCACGTTGACACGTTCGCCAGGATTGATGGCCCCCTTGCTTCAACAGCAGACCTGCGAGGAAGTGCGACTTGGCGAAGAAGCGATCCGCACTATCCCTGAAAATGGCCTGGAAAGGTAGGTGAATCGTTATATATAGAGTATATGTGTAGTATATGTATAATATAATATATAATATATGTATAGTAATGTATATATATATATATAATATATATATATACATAATATAATTATAATAGTTCTATCGTTGATTTATCCAGATGATCGCCAAGTTCTTGGGTAATCGTAATCTCAGTCATCCCTCCATGGCCTGGACTGTCGACTTTTCCGCCGAGGGAAGTCTGGGAGGAGAACACGGTTCCCAAGGAAGTGATGTACGTCCTGTTGGTGTGTAGCCACTGGGCAGGATGCACAACGCCATGGATGGATGGCAGCAAAATATGAGCCAAACTGGGTGCAAAAATCAGAAAGACATCTTATGGTTCATGAAAATCCAGCTATTGGGGTAGCTCCAGCTATTAGGACACCGAATTTTTTTTTCAGATATTCTTGACTTCCGAAGTGAAGAATTGGTGCTGACCACGCGTGCCCTCGTGAACACAAGAATTCAACGAGTTGCCCGATCGGGCCTTTTTGTGTTCCCGACTGCCCCAGTGGGGGTTTGCTGATTTTTCATTCCATCTCTATATGGATGATGTTCATCTGTCTATGCCAGCAAGTTTTTGAACAATGTACATCAATGTACTGTGTTTACTTTTGACAAGGTTGACAGACAATTGTATTTCTTGTCATTTTTGTGGGTGAAATACCCCATGTGGGACACAAATTAGGCTTGACTATGCTTTATGGAATATATATATATATGTATCTTTAGTTGGCTTAATAGTTGGTCGGGTTCGCATTGAGCAATTGCCATCTTAGTTCACCCAATGACTCTGTACGGAAATACTGTATCCAAGAATCTTCTGGCTTATACATGGCCAGTTATCGACCTGATGTTCAGTATTTGTCGATGATTTTCTATCCAATTTTCCAAGATCATATTGTTATATGATATTCATTTTTATAGCTTCCCATGACATATTATCCATCTGTGAGCAATAATTGATATATATATATATGGTGATTATTTACAATTATTGATACCAATCGTTATAAGTCTAAACCAGTCACTAACAATTTGTCAACATTATCATATCAATAACCATTCAAATTTTCGGACCAACTTTTGATTTATCACTTATTTGCTACATACACACACAATATTCCCCATTACCCTCTGGTGAACTAACCATTAAATCCCATTAAATCCTATTAAATCCCATTAAACCACCATTAAACCACCAACATTTCCCATTAATCACCATTGATCACCATTAATCACCATTAATCACCATTGAATCACCATTAAATCCCATTAAATCACCATTATTCCCCATTATCTATGGCTTATGAAAACCCACCTTCGTCAGATTTCCTCGAGGCGACGGCTGTTTCGAGACCCAGGGCTTCGCGAGTTGGTTGTTGCAGCTGCGGTCGCTGAACGGCGCGCAGGACTGGTCAGAAGGAGAATGGGGACTTTGCGTTTTTTTTTTGGTGCCCAAAAAAGTCCAATACAATATATATATACATACTATGCTGTATATATATATATATCTATATATAATACTATATTATATTATATTATATAATATTATATTAATATATATATATATATTATATATATATATTTATACATAACATACATATACAATTATGTAAGTACATCTGTATTACGCCAAGTCTGGGGATAGCCAGTTTCACAGCCATCCAGTCGCAGTTTGATCGCGGTGAAATCACCGAAATGTTTCCAGTTTTGGTCCAGATAAATCCCAGTTTCTGCGAAAATGCCATGAATGGATGTTCCTCAATGGCCATTAATGGGATATTAACATAAAAAACTGGGATATTAATGGCCATTAATGGGATAAATCCCAGTTTTGGTCCAGAGATATCCCAGTTTTTTTTCATTTCTGCTGGTTAAATCCTCTGCTGGTTTTGTCGGGAATTCTGAAAAAACCATGACGCCCTGATATCCAACAATCCCAACCACCACCACTTAGGTTTACATGTTGTCAGAGTCACAACTAGCTAAGTGGTTCGTAAGTGGATTGTAACCCTTCAAAAGACTGGGATGTATTGGGATATACCTCAGTTGCCAACCACATAGCAAAATTCGGTAACATCTAAAACTATGATTCCATTATGAATGATGCTTATCCAGATCCCAGACGTCATATATCACAATTATTGTTCACGTTGACCTCATCGTTCGCATCCTGGATTCTAATTCTTACGTCTATTGGAGACTGCGGTATATCTCAATATTGGAGACGGAAGAGCAGCTAGACGATAGTATACTTAATTTGTGTCCTAATTTTTCGGGTTCCATCATTCAGAGACAGATTCTCTCCCGTGTAATTTTTCATTCGCCAGGTGAAACCCTCATTCCCATTGTTTCAATTGCCGTTTCTGTAGGTGATTGCGCAAAAAATGTCACAAATATGTGCAACTCGCAGACATGTAGTCAATCTTCCTTGGAAAAGCATTTAGGTCTTCCCTATGTACTGAATGGTCAATAGTTGAAATATATATAATTATAGACACAGATTGGTGATGGTCATAGCATCAACAACTCATTAGTCGAGGAACAATGGTTGCCATTGGTGATTCTGACCACAATCTGATGTTGGGTATACCATTGGTGATGGCCATAGTGGTTGAGGACTCATCATGGCCAATTTCATGTTGGGATGACAATAAAGTATCCCATACAATGACCATGGGTTTTCCATATTGTTCCAAGTCGATTCACAGTGATTCTAGTCACGATATTCCCATTGTAGCTCCGTTTTTGTTGGTCAAACCGCCACTTCAAGTAGTTGACCTCTGCATTTCTGCGGGTCAAAACCGTGTTTCACCAGCTTTTTTCACCCACGCACCAGGTGGCGATTTTGCCCATCATCGCAGAGTCAGGCTTCCGCTTCCCCTCCTTGACCTTCCACAGCGAACTGCTGCACCTTGCCGATGCCGAGATGTGGGCTGCGATCAGCGGGCTCAAAAGCTGAGCTAGCGTTATTTAGATTTATTTAGCTCATAAAACATCATAAAAAACCATACAGAGACTTGTGGTACTAGTCTATGGGTCTTAATATGATATATTAATTATGGTAGTATCCTACTCACTCTGGGTCATCATTTTCTGACCCCGGGACTTCTCTGGGTCTATTCATATGTGACCGGTGACTTTGTAACTACAAATGGTAGTAAACATACAGTAGAATTAAGGTAAATAGTATATACTGGTGTATCGGAATTTTTGCATATGGGTATTATATGAATTAACGTTCGACTAGCGTTGGCATGTTGGTTGCGGCGAATTGTGACATGGAACTCGATGAGAAATCACTGGACCCGGGGTTTCTTTTCTATTTCGGACAACGGTAGACATGACTACTGAATTTGGACATAGTATGACCAATTTTCACATTATATATATATATACATGTGCATATATATATACAGATGTATTTATAGTTATATATATATATATTATGGATATGATCCAGATGATCATATACTGTACATTTATAATTGCGCGCAGATTGGCTGGTCAAAGGGTGGACTGAGGTGCAGATGGGCTCGATTTTGGGATACGGCAATAGTCTTTTTGGGGTAAAACTTTGATTTTCACATCCCAGCGTTCTTGGAACAGCTTCCACGTGGCCTGACCAAGGAGAATTCCTCACCTTCAGAGTTTCGACCTTGGGAGCTATGCAAAGATCATTCGTGCCTTATTTGGAGTGACTTGGTCGTTTTCTTCCAACGGGATCGTCGGACATGTCGGATGGTTCCTCCCAGATGGAGGTTCTGGAGGACCGGCCTGTCATCCAACTTCACTGTGGTCATTCACATGCCATAGATGTCATAGGTTTTTGAGCGAAATCCTGATGGTGATGCTGGTGGGGACCCGTATGATATGTATGATATGTCCAGCAGATCTTCAGCAACATCCGACTGGCAGAGCAATGACCCGAATGACCCGCACATGGCGCCATGTCAATCCCACTATGGCAAATGATACATATGCATATATCCATGCACATTTCAGGTACCCCCAGCCCCCCAAAATGATCCACCATTTCAGGTTGGTCAATTGTCCGAGTTCATCTATAGTTATCACAGTATCTGTATATATATATTTATACACATATGTATACACAGTACACATATAGATTTCATAAGAACATCGGACAATTACTCTTGAAATGATAAGTTGAAATAAGCTTAACACTATATATTATGGCCATTAGTATATGGCTAATATATTAGTAATTAATATTATTAATGGTTAATACTTACACTACTATTATTCATAGAATTGGATGATGGGAAAATTTACAGGAAACCCCTTTATTTGATGGTAAAAACCATGGTTTCCTGTAGATTTTCCCTTAAAGCAATCCATTGAATTATATGGTTAATATTACTATTGATGAACCCGGGGTCCGACCGTCCAAGGAGCTGTGGTTTTTCGTGGCTTTCACACCTCAGAGTTGCTGGGTATTCTGGGCCGCTGGTGTCATCAAACTTGGAGCTTTTAACGGGAAAATCATGGGAAAATCATGGGAAAATCACTGGAAAATGTGGGAACATCATGGGAAAATGTGGGCAAATATGGGAAAAACCATGAAACCACATTATAAATGGAGGTTTTTTTTTGGCGTGGAGAAACATCGAAAAACATGGCTGGTGGATTTTTTTGTTTTCCATTCCCACGATTGATTACGGAACTACGAGCTATCAGATATGTCAATGGGGTTACAAGCAATGTGGTAAACCTTGGTGTTTTTTCTGATACTAACCATCCCTACTAATTCACATTATTCACTCACTAATTTACCATGGAGGGTGCAACAAAAACCATAAAAAAAACGATAAAAAAAAGTGTGGTGAACATTCTTTGGCTTCGAGGATCTTGGGCGTGGTTCAACTCCAAGTGCCCCCTTTACGAATCTCCAAGATTCGTCGTTTGTCTCCAGTGGAAATTTGCTAACGGCCTGTCTTTATAATATATGTATATAATATATACTATATGTCTTTATAGATGAAAAAAAATATGTATATATATATAGTGTAAAAAATCAGTGTTTTGGTAACGGCCACTCTTCAGTTGGAAGACCCAATCTTCGGTTCGTGCCAGCAGCTAGTGCCATCGCGTGGTCGAACATCACCCATCTTTTGATTCGATTCGCCTAGCAAGAAAAGCAAGGATTGCCATTGCCGTTTAAAGGTAGTGGAACTTTCAAACGGGGTTATCTATCAGTGATGTAAGCCTACAAAAACGAACCTTTATCAAGGGGTCCAGGGGTCCCTACAGACTTCCTCAGTGGTTCAAGCATCCTTTAGTGAAGATATTCCGCATTGATACAAATTACAACTATTGTTATGATTTGTTACGATTGTCATTATTGCTGCAATACCAAAATCAACAGTAATAACTAATAACATACATACAATTATATATATATATACATACATATATATACATATAAATATACATGTATATATATATATATATATGTGCATAACCTGTACCTTCACCCCATATAGTCTCGACCCATTCTGCATTGCTGTGATTTTTTTGTGAGGCTGTGGAAGCAAAGAGCTCCACCTACGCGCTGAACAGGAGCCGCGGGCTGGGAAGCCAGCGAAAAGTACAGCGGCAAGAGACCCCAAACAGTGTGTGTGTGTGAGGATAATGTAATGATAATGTTGAGCGTGATGATGATGATGATGATGAGGAGGATGATGAAGAATTTACAAGAGTGATGAGTTGTAGTGACCATGCAAGTCTTTGGAATTTGGGTGATCATTTTGGATACCCAAAAACTATCCAAGCAAAACATCAACAACAGGATTCAAGCTGCTCCATGGGGAATCATGGGGATATGTGTCACGAACATCACCGTCCTGTCACCGTGAAAACCAGTATATCATTATTTTTTTCCTATGGTATCAGCTAGCAATTTTTTCCTATGGTTCTCCATGGTCTATGTCAATTGAAGTGTCAAATATCCCGATTGAATGTACATAGGCATGAAATTGTCCCATGACATACAAACATTGAAGCAGCGGGATAGGCATCCAAAAAACAAGTGTGCATATATATAGAATATTATACATCAAATGTTATATATGATATTACATTATATTACATATTATAGTATTATATTACATGTTTAGCAGATCACAGATGAAAATGTAGGTCCTCGAAGGTGGGGTGAGCATATATATCTATATCTATATATCTATATCTATATCTATATATTATATATATATATATATCTATATTTATATACATATATATAGATATAGATATATAGATATAGATATATATGCTCACCCCACCTTCGAGGACCTACATTTTCATCTGTGATCTGCTAAACATGCAATATAATACTATAATATGTAATATAATGTAATATCATATATAACATTTGATGTATCTATATTACATTGTCCCATTTTTTGGGCTCCATCTATGTCACTAGGCGCACGCTCTGCTCGTCCTTGCGCGGCCCCTGGCTGAACGCCTGGCCGCCGTGGAGGCAGAGACCAAGGTGCCGCAGGAAACGCTGTTGGAATGCGCAGGGTCTTTGATAACAAATAGTAGCACTATACTAATATTCTAGAACCTAGATGCCCATATTTAGAAAATCTTCGCATACCATGTTTTCTAGATTTTCCAAGCCATTTTGGCATGAAGTATGAACGGCCATGGAATATGGGTAAGAAATTGCTAGACATATTTTGATATAGTACTATAGTGTAGGTATAATAGTAACTATAAGTACTATAGGCTATTTAGGTATTTACATGTATTTACTACACTTGGAACTATAGGTAATGTTTTGAACGTACTATAAGTACTAATAGTAACTATAGGTATTCGTAACTACTATAGTAATCGTACTAGATAGTACTGATATGTATTGCTAATATAGTAACAACTATATGAATATCAATGGGTAATACATAGCACTGAATGGGTATTACACATAGCGTTTTTGAATGGGTAATGTCAATATTCTTCGGAATACATAGCTATTGAATGGGTAATACCTATTTATAACTGGGTATAATGGGCAACACCTATTTGACTATCAGATATCAATATTGTTTTTTAAATATCATGAGTACTAGAATCAGCTAGTACTAGTAATTACTATATGTGATTGTAAAGTATCATTAATAGTAATGTTATATTAAGATCAGATGACATGGGAATAAGTAGTGATTTTTTACCCCATGCGTTGAGAAGATGACATGAGCATAGTATATATATATATCTTGTTCTAAACACAACACAAATACCATCAAATACCCAGATCAAGAAATATCAAGAATACACGGGGTATTTGATGGTATTTGTTTTATTTTTCTTGAGTTTACCTGCAACACCGTTTTTTTTTGGAACATACCCTCTGATAAACGTTTACATAACTATAGAAAATCACCATAGAACTAGTGAATTTTCCCATGAAACATGGGGATTTTCCATAGCTATTTGGCTGTTTACCAGAGGGTATGTATCAAAAGGATGGCAGCTGTGACCAACAGCTGGGGTTCTTCACCCAGACCTTAATCTTGGCGACCAAAAAATCAACCATACCCTCTGGTAAACATACTAACATAGCTATTGAAAATTGCCATAGAAAGTTCGTGGATTTACCCAGCTATAAAATAGTGGAATTTTCCAGTTCGTTATGGGACAGTTTACCAGAGGGTAATACATGACATCAGCATGTCCAAAAAAAACATATGGATTTCACCAGTCGCAACTTGGCAGTTTTTGAGAGCGACAGATGGGGATGAAACGACCGACGAAACGACCGAATGTTGCCAACATCAAGGGATGTACCCTCTGGTTATGACTAACATAGCCATGGGAAATGGCCCATAGAAATAGATGGTTTACCTATTAAAAATGGTGATTGTCCATAGTTATGTAAACGTTTACCAGAGGGTACATGATTTTAAAATACTCAATGCTCAACATCACGGCCACAGATGGTTTGCTGTATTTAGAGACGATCATCGACGATCACACACATGAACAGTAGCCGTGTGAATGGTGATGACATCCCACAAAAAAAAGGTAGTGGTTGTGCGGTCTTCCCAACATGTAACATATGGGATATACAGAGCAAAATCAGTTGTGAGTTGAAATTTATTTCTTCCGGACATTTTCCTGCAGGCCTGATCCTTTCCGGTTGGGTAAACCAAGAGTTGGATGACCAACTCAAAACTTGTCGGTTTGAATCTAGAAAAAACCCTCCAGCTATCCAGAGAAATTCTCCAATCCCTCCATCTTCCGGAGGTGCAAGATCAAGATGAAGACACGCAAAAGGCGTGACGACGCGTGATACGCAACGTCATACGCAACGTCAAGTGGGGCAGTGAATTTATGCTCATGACATCCAGTCATTTTCCGGCATTTTTCCCCCAAGAAACTGGTTTTATGATGATGAAACAATATGACCCATGGGGCCCTTTTTTGGGGCCCCATGGAGATGGGTCAAAAGCTACGACTTCGCCCGTCCTGAGTTGTGCTGGATCCCAAATCATGGGGTCCTCCGAAACCACCAATGAACCATTGGTTGAAATACGTTGAGAATTAACATTTTTTTTCAGCCATCGCCAACTCTGATATTTGGATAGTTCTTTGGTGCCAGCCCTTGTTTTGAATCTTGGTGCCATCCAAAACATCAATCCCACATATCCATAAATACCCCATATCTCTTGATCTTCCAAAACGTTTGGTGAGGTAAACCCAAGAATCAACCATCCCCACATTTTTTTTGGGTTTCAGAAAGTGGGTCTACCCCCTAGAAAGTGGCTATATACCCTAGAAAGTGGGTATACCCCATGTAGACTCTCGTAAATAAGGGGGCGGGCTTGTATTTAAGATCTGTTTTCGGGTTCATAAGATGCACGCAGTATGCAAAATGCATCAAATCAAATGTGCAGTGATCCTTGGCTGAAAAATGATTGCGCAACGAATTTCGACACAGTGCCCCGATTTCGTCTAGTGTTTGGATCGTCGGCAAAGAAAAATAATTCTATCTGCAAGCCATATAAAAAAGACCTACACATGTTTTTTATTTTCATTTTTATTTTGTTTTTTCGATTTTTCCTTATTTCCGCGAAAAAAACTTAAATTCAAGGGCTGGCCTTGAATTTAAGGAAATTCGTTTTTTTTCACCCAAATCTAGTAGTTTGTCACCCAAATTCTTCACAAAATGAGTCATGTGGATGGCTGCAGTTACGTGATTCAATACAATTTGCTCAAAACTGGATTTCAATCGGAAACAGTTGGTTTGCAAATATCCTAAACCTTATTTCCATGATTTTCCATGTAATTCCCTTATTTCCTTGAATTATGAAAGTTTCCAATACCCCAAGAAATGATACCCCTAATAGACATGGGATGATAGTTAAACTACCATGGTATACCCCGAAAGTGGCGACATGTCCCCGACATCGAAATGGCACTTTTTTCAAACGAAAACACCGTCCCAGGCGGTCATCGCCATGAAGACCATCTCTTCCGGCTCCAATCTTTCCTTGACAGCCACTGTCAGGATGCGGATGACATGACCAAAATGAGTTGCTCCAAAAATGGGAACGTCCCCAAAAGAACCAGAAATGTGTAAAAATGATCCCCTCTGGTTATGACTAACATAGCCATGGAAAATGATTGATTTTCCCATTAAAGCCTCCATTTATGGTTGGGATTTTCCATAGCTATGTTAGTCATAACCAGATGATAAACCATCATTTATTTTTATGGGTATCCATGGGTATCCGTTTTTTTTAGACAAACTCGCGTCTGACAGTGAATGCATCAAATGCTGGGATGTGTATTCAAGTATTCATGAGAGTGGTGAGTGACTGTGCCTAGTTAACCCCCCAACTTTTCCTTTTGATTTGGTTACGGGGCTGATTTGTGGAAAACTGTTTGACGAGACTGTCGGGGTCCTGTACATGGTGATGGAACATCAATTCTAGACACACATTAGATTGAGAACCCCCGTGCCCTTATGCATATATACAACATCATTCCGAATAAATACTGCAGTTCTTGAACTTTGCTTGGGTAGCTTTATAGAATCCCTTACCATTTGGATGTGGCATGTTTCATCTAAACCGAGAGGAGCGATTTGGATATGGCCTTCATGGCGGCTGCTGGGTGGCATCTTCCTCAAGTTTGACCTGTAATTAGATGAGCATCACGATGGATATCTGAATAGTTTCATGCATTTTGAAGATTTTAGCAGAAGTATATACCCTCCGGTAAACTAACATAACTATGGAAAATCACCATTTTTAATGGGTAATTCAACTATAAATGGCCATTTTCAATAGCTTTTTGTATGTTTACCAGAGGGCAATATTTCATACATCGGTCGCTGGGTATCCCAAGAAACCTGCTGTTTTTATGAATGTTTTTGCCTGCTGGAAAGCAACCACATATTTTTTCAACCCCGGTGTTGCATCAGTGACCGACCAGTTAGGCCCGTTAGGCTATGTTAGGCTTAGCCGCTAAGCCACCATTTTCGAAACATCGGAAGTTCCATCACATCCATCATTTTCGACACCATTTTTGACAGCATATTTTCGACAGTCTCGGGTCTGTCTGTGATTTCGGGCACTCCAAAATCCCATGAGTTATCATGAGTTATCCTCTGATAAATTAAGAGTTCGACCCTGAAAATGACCAATGAAAATAGTGGAAACTCGCCTTCCAACTCCTATCTGGGTCTATGGTCTATGTTAATTTTAACTGGTCTATGTATCAGTTGATTTATCAAGCCCTTACCATTCGTGCCGTTGCCAAGTTGGGATTTTTAGCAAGACCCATGAGATCCCAGTTTTGATAATAAAAAAGAGGCGCCAGGGCACCATCTTTTTTGGGGTTGCAATCATCAAACTTACAGATTATTGATATTATATTATATATTATATATAAAATATATTTGATAATTACATATAATACAGTACTTGACATTATATATAAAATATATTTGATCAACGATGGTTGGTTGATATGGGGTTACAGTACCCAATTTGTATTGGCGATAATCCACGAAGTGGGAATCCGATTTGACATTTCAACGATTATGAGAGACTTTCAAAATCTTTCGAATAGACTTTGAAATTTCTTGACTGGTTACGGTTGCAACAAACCCCTACTTAAACACATTTCGACCATCTGTGGCGAGGAAATCTACCAGATGTACTTCAACCCCACGGTGGGTGAACGCTTTTAGCGTGCCGCGACCATCAGCTGGGGCAAAGTTCGTTTGATTTATCCAGGTCACAGGTAGATGTCAGGACATGTCTCCCCCGAAAAAAATTAGGATATGGATCTCTCTAGGTTTGGACTTCCAAGATGAATCTAAGATGGTTGCATAGCTTTAACTTGGACAAAAAAGAACATATGTATGAAATGATCATAAAAAGTCATGGATAAAAAGTCATGGATATCATATTAATTCACTATTAATCCTTACTAACATGGAGAATCTGTGGAAAAATTCATGGAGCTTCACATGACCCATTTATCACTTGGCCCATGGCTGCCATGAGGCAAAACAGTGGAAATTGCTACGGGGGCTCCTCAGGATCTTCCGAGAATGGAAAAGTTACGGTTGGATCCTGGTGGGTTTCACTATGTTTATACCACCAGTCAATGGATTGGATTAAGGGAAATTTTACAGGAAAGCCCCATATTTAATGGGAAAATCTATGGTTTCCTGTAAATTTTCCCTTAAACCAATCCATTGAACCAGTTTCTGAGAAGTGGCTATGGCTCAATACCTATGAAAATACCATTTTTAGGGGGTTATTCACATCCATAAATCCCAGCTATTTTGATGTGAACAAAAAAGGGGTATTATTGGTTTTGACACACTGCCAAGTCATGGGGGATTTTTCTGAGTTTTGGCGGTTTTTCACAGCACCATAGATATTCCTCCCATCCAATAAACCGCAACGGTAGTTTTGATATGGAAACTGATGATACACCATGGCATCATTGTTTCCCATTTTTTTTGGTGGGAGGGCTTGATTAAATCCAAGAATCTATGGATGGCGGTTGAAGACCACAGAAGTTGAAGCACATTGAACCGCTAAGAGTGGAGGTTTCTGTATCATCCCCACACCTAACAGTACCCCATGGTTTTTTTTTTGAAATCACCGGTGTCCGACGTCTGGAGGACCTCAGGCCTGTTTGGAGAGAACACAGCCCAAGGATCTTGATGCAAACACCGGCAGAGTCCTGGCGGGTTCGGTTTATATGTTTTCATGTGTTTTTTGTTCTTACATTGATTGTACATATGAATTATGCTACATGTAATTATATATACTGTATATATATATTATGTTTAACTAGAAATCCGTCGCTGTACGGTAGATACATATAGGAAAAGGAGAGAATCCATCGTGCATGAAACTCTGCCCAGTAATTGCACGGGATTTGTGGAGAAACGTGACGTGCAACGCGCCACAACGTGCCATGCGCAAGCAGTTGGCCCGTGGATGTTTTGAAGCTGGCGAACTTAAAAGCAAGGAGGGAACGCGAGCTGCAGACGGGACATTTCTATGATAAGGTTTGTTCAGGGACGTGCCAGGAATCGTAAGTGGTGAGTAATCAGATTATAACCCAGGCATGTGTATATATGTATATATAGACACACACACCTACAGACACAAAAAATCACAATCACATACACATACACACACACATGCCTAGCTACCTACCTACATACCTACCTACCTACATCCATACATTACACTACACTACACTACATTACATTACATTACATTACATTACATTACAAAACATTGCATGCATGCATACATATCTAAAGTACCTACATGCATGCAAACCTACCTACCTACCTACCTACCTATCTACCTACATGCATACATACATGCATGCATACATACCTGCCTACATGCATGCATACATACATACCTACCTACATGCATGCATACATACCTACCTACATACATACATGCATACATACATACCTACATGCATACATGCATGCATACATACATACCTACCTACATGCATGCATGCATACATACCTACATACATGCATGCATGCATGCATACATACCTACGTACCTACATGCATGCATGCATACCTACATACATGCATGCATGCATACATACCTACATACCTACATGCATGCATGCATACCTACATACATGCATGCATGCATACATACCTACCTACATACATGCATGCATGAATGCATACATACCTACCTACACGCATGCATTCATACATACATACCTACCTACACACATTCATGCATGCATACATACATACCTATCTACATACATGCATGCATACATGCATACCTACCTACATACATGCATGCATACATACCTACCTGCATAGATACATGCATGCATGCATACATACCTACCTACCTACATGCATGCATACATACATACCTACATGCATGCATACATACATGCATACCTACCTACATACATACATTTATGCATGCATGCATACATACCTACCTACATAGATACATCCATGCATGCATGCATACCTACCTATATACATGCATGCATACCTACCTACCTACATGCATGCATGCATACATACCTACATACATGCATGCATACATACATACCTACCTAGATACATACATGCATACAGCCCTACCAACCTACCTACATACATGCATGCATACATACCTGCCTACCTACATACATGCATGCATACAAACCTATCTACCTACATACATGCATACCTACGTACCTACCTACCTACCTACCTGCATACATACATACCTACCTACATGCATGCATGCATACATACCTACCTACCTACATGCATGCATGCATACATACATAACTACCGACATACATACATGCATGCATACATACCTACCTACATCATGCATGCATGCATACATACCTACCTACATGCATGCATGCATACATACCTACCTACATACATGCATGCATGCATACATACCTGCCTACCTTCACAGCTGCAAGCATACATGCATACATACATACTTACCTGCATACATGCATGCATGCTTACATACATACACACCTACATGCATGCATACCTACCTACCTACATACATCCATACATGCATACATACCAACCTACCTACATACATACAGGCATACATACATTTACGCATACATACATACCTACCTACCTACATACATACATACATGCATGCATGCATACCTACCTACCTACATGCATGCATACATACCTACCTACATACATGCATGCATACATACCTACCTACATGCATGCATGCATAAGTACATACATACCTACCTACATGCATGCATACATACATACCTACATACATGCATGCATACATGCATACATACATACCTACCTACATGCATGCATGCATACATACCTACCTACATGCATGCATGCATACATACCTGCCTACATGCATGCATGCATACCTACCTACCTACATGCATGCATGCATACATACCTACCTACATGCATGCATGCATACCTACATACATACATGCATGCATACATACCTACCTACATGCATGCATGCATACCTACATACATACATGCATGCATACATACATACCTACATGCATGCATGCATACCTACATGCATACCTACATACATGCATGCATACATACATGCCTACCTACATGCATGCATGCATACATACCTACATACATACATGCATGCATGCATACATACCTACATACCTACATGCATGCATGCATGCATACCTACATACATACATGCATGCATACATACATACCTACCGACATGCATGCATACATACCTACATACATACATGGATGCATGCATACATACCTACACACCTACTTGCATGCTTGCATACCTTCATACATACATGCATGCATGCATACATACATACCTACATACCTACATGCATGCATACCTACATACATACATGCATGCATACATACATACCTACCTACATACATACATGCATGCATACATACATACCTACCTACATGCATGCATGCATACATACCTACCTACATGCATGCATGCATACATACCCACATGCATGCATGCATACATACCTACATACCTACATGCATGCATGCATACATACCTACATACATACATGCATGCATACATACATACCTACCTACATGCATGCATGCATACATACCTACCTACATGCATGCATGCATACATACCTACATGCATGCATGCATACATACCTACATACCTACATGCATGCATGCATACATACCTACATACATGCATGCATGCATGCATACATACCTACATACCTACATGCATGCATGCATACCTACATACATGCATGCATACATACATACCTACATGCATGCATGCATATCTACATACATACATGCATGCATACATACCTACATGCATGCATGCATACCTACATACATACATGCATACATACATACATACATACATACATGCATGCATGCATGCATACCTACATACCTACATGCATGCATGCATGCATACATACATGCATGCATGCATACATACCTACATACCTACATGCATGCATGCATACCTACATACATGCATGCATACATACATACATACATACATACATACATACATACCTACCTACATGCATGCATGCATGCATGCATGCATAGATACATAATTTGCATAATATGGGGTCGGTCCTAGTCGTCGTGTTGCTTTTCAACCCTTGCAGTCGCCCCTGGGCCTCTCGACGCCTACGTGAAAGATGGACCTCGAAGAGGCCTTCATCGTGGCAGCATTTTTTTCAGCGTCCTGCTTGGAGGAGAATCAACAAACATCGGTAAATATTAATGTAAAATCCCATTCCAATGAGCATCATTGCTGATTAGGACTGGGATTAATGATACTGTAGTAATTGCCCTAAGGATCTATGAATAGTATTGATATGTATAGTGTTGATCGAATCCCATTTTCCTAAAGTTATGAAACAAAGCCTAAATGGGTCCAATATGTGTAAATTCCCTACCAAACCATTGGTTACGGAATTCTTGAAGCAACAGAATTAGGATGAATCAGGTATTTCTCACCAGCAATAGGGATTTCACCAGTGATGAATTTGCCCAAATACTGGGGATAGATCTGATACTCAACCAACAACTGGTTGGTGCTTTGGATCATTTTTTATTTTTCCATATAGTGGGAATAATCATCCCAACTGACTAATATTTTTCAGAGGGGTAGGTCAACCACCAACAACTGTGCTGATTGAATCAATGATTGTGGTAACTGCTGAGGAATTCCTCGGGATATTCTGGGACTTTTTCCCATGGAGACCGTCAGAGACCCTCCAAGTGGGACCGAGCTTTCCGAAGGCCGAGTTCATCGACGGGTGGAAAGCGCCAGTTTTATCCGTGGAAAGTGCTGCAGATTCACAATTGTTTTTTTTTTTGAAGGTTTATCAAAAGCCAAATGGTAGAAGTGTTGCCAAATTTTGCCAGGCCACTTGAATCACTTGAAGCTGGCCATGGATGGTTTGGGACTCCTCAAGGTTTGACTCTGGCCATTTTCCAAATCAGTTTCCAATTCCAGGTTGGGATGGCTCGAGTTGACCTCTGTGAGATGGGCATCGGCTAAAACATGGGTGAGTACTGAGTACCTGAGTACCCCAAATGATGACACCTCAAAATGGAGCGCTGTGTCATGATCCGAAGGTATTCCGTTGCTATATGTGGCTAAGGCTCAAAATTTTTGATGCCGAAGTTTGCATGGTCCGCTAGAAATTGCCAAGCCAGGAGTCCATCTAGCCCGGTTTCTGAACCGCCCATGGTTCGTTTTGCTCTTCCATGTTTTACAGCTGTACAATTTGGCCCCCTCAGTTATAGGCTTCCAACCTCAACTGTAGATACTGTGGAGAATACATCCACCACGAACCATACCAAAATTAGCCAAACCATCGTTCAGGGGAGTGTACAACACATACCCAATTTTCGTTGGGTAAATGCCAATTGTATCCCCATTCAATACCTATTGCGCTTACTTATGGTCAGTTTTTACACCCCATTCAAAAGCCCTGCCGTTGGTGGATGATTAGTGTTGGGGGCTGTGATGAACCTCCCTTTTTCATTAGCAACTGGGAATGCCAATTGGAAAACCACCGATTATAACCGGGAGATTTTCCAATAAATTTCATCAAAAATCCCATAGGAATCCCCTCTATTTTCCCAGATTAATCCATCATTTGCGTCTTTGTCTGGCAACTTTCCAAGCATTTGCCAGATTCATCCATGATTTTCGGAGATTTTCCAATCATATCCCATAGGATCCATGTACTGGTATGGTATATATGCTAACATAAAGGGGGTATATTGATGGGATCCATGTTACCATATATAGCAGCACCATGGATCCTATGGGTATTGCAATATCATTATAACTTATAAATTATAACAATTTTCAATCAGCTTCCAGAATTCACCAGTTTTCTGGGCTTTTCCCAGAAACGGTCATGTTGATCATGTCTTTTCCACATCCGGCGCTCCACCAACCTGCGGCCATGTGCCGCAGGTTGTTTTTTTCGGAAAGTGGCGTGGGTCCGAATGAGCAGCAACGGGTCGTTTTGTTTGGCTGTTGAAAAATCACGTAATGTTGGAAAGCCAAGAGCGTAGCAGCAAGAACATTGTAGGAAGTAATGTGAGAAAGTCAAGAGCGCAGCAACACCAAACATAGTAGGAATAATATTTGAAAGCCAAGAGTGTAGCAACAACAAACATAGTATAGGCCTGTATTTGAAGCTATGTTGGAAAGCCAAGAGCGTAGAAGCAAGAACGTAGCGGCAAGTTATGTTGGAAAGCCAAGATCGTAGCAGCAAGAACATAGCAGCAAGAACGTAGTAGGAAATTGTGTTTGAAAGCCAATAGCGTAGCAAGAACAAACGAGAAATTATGTTGGCCAGCCAAGAGCGTAGCAGCAAGAACGTAGTGGGGAGCTATAGCCAAGAGCGTAGCAGCAGAAACGTAGCAGAAAGTTATGTTGGAAAGCCAAGATCGTAGCAGCAAGAACGTAGTAGGACGTAGTGTTTGAAAGCCACGAGGGTAGCAACAACAAACAGGATTTCATGTTGGAAAGTCAAGAGCGTAGCAACAGCAAACAGGAAGTTATGTTGGAAAGCCAAGAGCACAGCAGCAAGAATTCACAGTATTTTTACGGGAACTCATCTGCATTCTAGTCCTGTCTAAAGAGCTGTGACGTTTGAACCTTCTCATCCCGTTCAGGTATCATGTCCTCTTGTACTCCCACTCCATGAAACCCCAAGGCCCCTAAGGCCCGTAAAGCCCGTAGGGCCCGCAAGGCCCGTAAGGCCCGTAAGGAGCCCGTAGAGCCCGTGGGCCCATTGGTGTTGGGAAGGGCTCTTCTCACGAAATCACCGTGTGAAAACACCAGTGCAAGCAGTTGACCTCCAGGATTTCTCTCAAACATCCGAAAAAACCATTTGGAGCGACAAGGTCCACGACAAAAGATTCATAATTTGGTAGGTCCAAAAATGGGCGCAGAATCATGGAATACACAAATTGATGATGTTGATATTGGAACCTCTTGGATCATGACGATTTCGGTACCACAGCCCTTGACCCAAAAAGCCCCCGGCTGTGTGGAACTGGCCACAAATCTCCGGAAAATGCCGTGTTCATCGTGTTCTCGGAAACAAAAGGTCATTCTTGCGAGGTGGAACACTGCTTCTGGGTATAAAACAACCAGATCTTATATGATATCGTCAAGATATAAAACAACCAGTCTCATTGCTTCATATTTATGCAGAATAGAGTCAATCACCGAATGTTTTGAGGCAAAACCCTCGATGTTGTAAGTATATCCTTTCTGCTGTTGGTGGCTTTACCCATTTGCTTGAAACCCTGATGGGGACCATTCGTCTGTTTTTTGCATTTGTTGCCAATGTAGTACACCGATTAGTGTGATGGTACCCTACTGTGAGAAAATGTTCAACACTAAGTCAGGATTCTCAAATTGTTTGGGTGGAACTCCCTTGTGAGTTCTTTTTCTCAGATCATTTTTTTTCAGGAGGAAAACATATGAAAAAAGTAGGTCCAAGAGTGACTCAGATCCTCAATAGTATAATTGTTTGGATGGTACTTTATTGTGCTCAAAAAAATTAGGGGTGAACAAACATCCCGAAACCTTCTATCCATCTTTCTTTGGATAAAGCTGTTCCATTTACTTTCGAAACCATATTATGTCCATATTGAATCCTTGGATTTTTTTTAGATTTAAAAGAAAAAAGAATTGAAAGTAGATTCAAATGAATTGAAATCCTTACTAATCCTGTTTTTTTGATTTAAAATTTTAAAGGAACATCAATTGAAAGTAGATTGGCATCAATTCTCATCCTTAGTTAAGTAGATCATCCTGAGTTCCCCAGACCTGGTCCCAAGAAAATTAAGAAACAAATCGAATAATAGAGCATACCGAATACCATAATTGTTTGGGGGGTCCAACATTAGTGCTCAAAGGAGTGAGCTGACCGTTCCTAACATGTGGGGCTAAGCGGCTAAGCGCCCGGCGGAACAATGGGAAGATGGAGGACATCACCCCATGGCGGAGTCCACACCCTGAATTTCCTGAATGATGTAGATGGGGAAACCAAACTAGAACGGGGATGAAACTGCTTTCCATATGCCTGGCTCAAAAAAAAGGGGTCCCGAGTCACAGCTTTGTGACATATTTCACGCGGCCAAGAAAACCAAAATTCGATGTAGATGAGAACCATACAAGGTGGATTTTTCATGGTGGTGAAACCCACCCAATGGTATTCTTGTGTTTTAAACCGGGAAACCTCTACGGTCAACATCCAGAAAATCCTCTTGGCTGACCTGGCGGTGGCTATGCTGTAAGAAATTAGATAGCCACGAATTAAGTTTGAATCTTAAGCACTGAAAACTGACCATTTGGCACCCTAGTCAAATGTCAAACCATCCCGACTTTGTCAGCTTCGGTTCAGGTTATGACATGTTTTTGAAAGCCGCATTTTTCAGTGCAGAATCACCGACATTTTTTCTCATGTGCTGCGATGGCGCATGGCGATCCAGATGAAAAAACCTTCCTCTACATCCTCTACTTGGTCACTTGGCAACGTGGTGGACAAATTTGGATACCCCCGAAATCCGATGGTTTAGGTTTGCTCATGTTTGCTCACTAAAAACACATTCCATAAATTGAGACAATATACTAATATACTAATATAATTGGTCAGTTATAATCTAATATACTAATAATAATATACTAATATACCCCAGTTATATTGGTCAAAGCCATTTCCAGAATCACGGCTTTTCGCTGCAGACTGGGGTGCTGGAATCTGATTTTCCATGTCAAGAGTTTACCCTCCTGAAAACAAACATGGAAGCCCAAAGTCCGGCAATGTTCATCGGAAAGTCGGGATCTTCCAGACCTTCCAGACCTTCCAGACCCGATTTTTTCAAGGACTCCCCATGACATCATCTTTTTGGGATGATCCAGAGTTAGGACCCTTAGGATTGACAGGATTGATGGCTGGGTGAAGAATCCAGATTTTTCATCGTGGGGTGAACAAGTTGAACAATGATGGCCATATCTGCTGCTGTGAGGGACAATGAAAAACACCACCAGAAAAAAAGCTCATCCTGAGATGTTGTTGAACATATCACTCATGCGACCCATGATATTCCATCATATCCTCATGTTCTCCCCATAAAATGGATAAATGGTTTGTTTCGTAGCTTCATTGAAGCGGGTGAAATGTCCCATTGAATACCATAAACCTCCCTTCAATCTCCCATTGAACTCCCATAGAACTCCCATTCAACTCCCATAAAACTCGGTATTTTGGTTGCTTGACATCAGTGAAATCAGAAAGTCCTGGCTGCTCCAGTGGAGGAACATCTCCAATTGGACGCCTCAGCAGTGCGGATGCCGGGCTCCGACGGGCTCCGACTGAGTCGCGAATGATGGGAAGCAATGGCCTATGGCTATTAGGGCTATGTCATGGATTGTAATTAATGTTACATACCATGATATACCCCCAAGTTCTATGGCTTTATATAGTCCAAACTCTATTTTCCTATCTTCCCTTATGTCCTATCATTTAATTTACATTTTGTTCTTAGGCCCCTGCATTTTATTTTATTTTTTAGGTGCCCCACCCCTCCCCCTGGCACCACACAGTGCTCAGTAGCCCCATTTTAGGATCCTGGAATTTCCATTGATTTAGTGGGGTCTTTGCAGGTAATGCATGTATTTACCTGCAAACTCCGGGAGAAATTGAGGGTTTCTAGCATGTTTGGTTCCCAGGGGGTACAGGTACAGTGAAGATGTCATAAGATTTAGGGAGCCGACACTGTTCACAGATGATGATTAGCATGATTAGCACATGGGAAGACCGTGGGAATACAAGTGAATGATCTGATAAAGAACGAAGGGTTTACAGCAACGAATCATGGTTGGTGGCGACTTCCCACGATCGACCCGACCCTGCGTTTTTTTTTTCAGTATTGAGCTTCAAAACATTTCGAAGATCACCTATCACCAACAATTTCGGATGACTGGTGGATAGTAGATGTTAGCACTTCATCCGTCTTTTGATCTTTTTCCATCGAAAAACACGAGAAGCGATCAATCCCACCCACTGTGGAACTGACTGACTCAGATTTTGGCGATGCATCAGGGCGACACGACACCTTCTAGCACCAAATGGCCATCCCGAACACATATTCTGACCAATATTCCATGGTATTTTAATGTACAAGAACCTAGAGTCAAACCTGTAGCCATGTAGAATGTCAAAGATCGATGATCCTCTTATGATATATACGTATACATATATATATATATCATATATATATCATATATATATATAGCCATAGTCTAGAATAAAAGTGATTTATCTCATTGCCGTAGTAACATCTCCCCGTGAGATCTCCCGAGCGCGTCACGTCGTGGAGTATCGAGGTGGACTATGTGGGCTCTGAAGCGGTTCCTGCCTGAGAATCGAGCGGCCACAAAATCGATGGAAGAGATGTGTTTCATGGTCAACTTAGTTTTCATGGGATAATTAATGGGATAATGTATTAGTATATAAATCTATATATATATATATATGTATATATATATATATTCAATGGGATGTGAATGAAGTTGACCACTTTGCACATTCATTGTTCACATATTTTTAGCGATTTGTCAGCATGAGGGGATTTCATGGGATGTATAGCTGGGAATTTCATGGGAATACATCCAATTAACTGGGAGAATCATTGGATAATATATATATATATATGCGAGTAGAGTGTAGGCTACGGACAGTTGTATATTATCACAATTAGACACTCTAGGATCCAGCACCAAAGGGGCTTTTCAAACTGGCCTCTTTGGCTCAAGACCCACTGCAGCACTGGAGAAAACAACAGCAATGCGGAAGCTGATGCCCTTGTAACGTCATCACTGGAACGACTACTTCGACATAAACTATCAGGACATAATCGGACAAGCAATCCCCGATTCGCAGGTTATCAGCCGTAGGACTCCTACGGAGCCTACGAGCGGGTAGCCGCGGGCCTTACAGATGACTGAACAGGATAGCAGCGATAATGCATTTTCTTTCTCTGGACATGCCGTTGCACCAGCTGCCGGCACGCAGTCAAATTCTTCACAGAGTATCGACACTGGTGGAAGCGATGCCTCAGAACTGAGAACAAGCCTACCCAGGCGACCTCTGGTTGCTCCTAGAGGGAGACAAATTTCGACAATGCAAGCAATCGAAGATAGGGACAGCACACCTGGAAAGAGAAGATCATCTGCACGACAATTGTCGCCTCCGATGACTCCAAGGACTAAGGCAAAGACTACGTCGTCGAATCCGCCTTCACCGATTCAGGACGCTACACCATCAGGGACGGGATCTTATCAGCAAGTGAACGCCCCATCAAGTGGTAGCGACATCTTCACTGCCTATCAGAGCGAATTAGCTGAATACAAAACATCATTGGAAAAGGCTACTGAAGAAGAATCCGTACTTCAGGCAAGATTAACTGAGACGACAGCTTATGCCTATCAACAATTTAATTTCCTGGAAAGCACCACTCATCAAGAGATGATGTCGATGACCGAACAACTCCAGATGCTGAACTTCGAATTACAGGCTGCACAACAAGAAGATGAAGGTGCGACCTACAGAATCGAGGAGTTGGAAAGATATCAGACTATGTCGAATGAAGCTGCATCTCATTTGGAATTCAAATATTCACGACTACGTTCGGAATTCGATGAACAAATGGGACAAGCGAGCGCAATTATGGTACATGTGGGCGCCGATGCGAATGCTCACATCAATCAACTTAGACTGGAACTGGAAAACGCAGAGATGAATGCCAAGCAGGAAGCTCTAGCGGTCGGCTACGCCAATGATCAAACATGTGCTTTACAGATCGAGATGCTCGAGGTTGCCAATCAAAATCAGACAATGAAGCACACCATGTCCATGAACGTTAGACGACTGGAAACTGAGCTTGATGCTGCTGACATGAAGAGGGACGAGATCATGAAGGAGTTCCGTAGTAACATAAGATCTGAACATGACCGTTATGCAGAATGTGAACATCACCTAGCTTTGGAAGAATCGCAACTTCGATTGCAGGTGATCCACAATGAAAACTTACAATCTCGACTAGCGATTTCTGAGAACAGGGTTCCTGAAGAATCTCTAGCTGAATCAGGCGGCATGCGGGACATGAGGATCATGGGACTACGTTCTGAACTACACATGAAACAAAGTCTTTTAGATCGAATGCAACAACAACTGACTGAATCGAAGAATCAGTATCATGAACTCTCCTGTCAACAAGCCAGAAGATCTTCACCAAGCAGATCACCACATGGGGGGCCTCTATACGAGATGTATATGCAAGCCGTGCGTGAGCGTGACAGCTTGAAAGAATCCAAGGCTGAAGTTGACAAGTTGTACTTGCAGAACAGAACTGAACTCATTGACACTGAGGACCTGCTCAAAGTCTTCCAGCGAAACTTCGATGAAACTGGTAAGAAATATCAAGATGCTCTGAACAAGATCGATCACATGAGCAACAATCCGAATGTGACGAGTAACTTGTTCGACAGTTTGCACAATGAAATCAATGACAGGGACACAGCTATTGCTCGCCTTCATACTGAACTTGAAGCCCAAAAGGATTCTCTTGAGCGTGCTCACAGGGATGCAGGTAAGTCCATCAAGATGTTGAACGACAGAAGACTCGTGATCAAAGGTGCGATTGACTATTCCATTCCTGAAAGCCACTTGACCGAGATGCATCAATTGGCCAATGAACGTTACGCTGAGGTAGAAGAGATGTCGAGCACTATTGCTGCCCTGAAGTTGGAAAATCAAGCTCATTCTTCTTCATCAAAGAATAGACCGACTACATTACATGGGTACCCCAGTAATGCTATGCCTCGGAATGAATGTGAAGAGAAATGTGCCAAACTGAAAGCAGAGTTGGACGAGATGAAGCAAGAGAAGAACAATGAAGTTCGAAATCTTCAAGATGAGTGAAGAAGATGGAAGATCGGAAAGATTATTACAAGAACAATTTCTCTCAAGCTGAAGATCGCGCCAACGATGAAGAGCAGGAATACCGAGCAGAAGCTGAAGCCTTCGAAAAGCTCAGGAACGAGTACAACACCAATGTCAAGGAGTTGGAGAACCTTGAAAGGGATAGATCCAAGTCATCCGTATCTCTAAGAGAAGCCGAAAAGATCAGCCTCCAACCCTGGCCTAAGACCACTGAACTTTCATCCTGGAAGGGAAGTGTCGTTCATGAAGTTTGTGTTGCAAGTGGAGATCGAAACTATGAAGATTGGAAAGCGTGGCTAGCTCCGTGTCTTGCAGATCAACCTGACTTGGAGGTTCTGGCCAAAGCTCCTGATGTGAGATTCCAATCCATTGATGCCAAGCTCTCCAATGCCTTGAGGAAAGTCATTGACAATGCTGGGGACAAGTCTATGCAAGTGAAGTATGAAATGTCCATGAAGAACCAATTGTATGGGAGAAGTGGGGACTTCATCAAGGGACGAGAACTATTTGCAATGATATTGATTAGCTTCAAGTCACCTGATCACACTGAAGTTCTCTACAATGCCCATCATTTGTATATGTTCAACTACTACGGAGATGACCAGCTTGAGGCCTTCTACAACAAATGGCTTGACATCGTATATAACATGAAACATGATGATCTGCCTTCTGCAAACTCCCTGCGTGACACATTGTTCCGGAAGATTGAACACTCAAAGCTTATGTCTTTTGATATCAGCCGATACCGTACCTACGATGAAGGGCATCCTGAAAAGACCTACGAATCCCTGATTGGCATGATCAAAGGATACATAGCAAGAGGAAAGCAAGAACGACTGTTGAAAGATAGAGAACGTGCAGTGAAACTGTCATTGTCCTCTAACAAGACGACACCTGCCTTAGAAGATGCGGACAAGTCTGCCGCTCCCGTCAAGACCAAGAAGGAGAATGAAGCAGCTGCATCGTCTACAGGTGATCCTCCCAAACGGCCTAAGGCGAAAGCGAAGAGTGAAGCTGCATCTGTACTTCCTACACCTTCTCCGAAATCTCATGCCGACAAGAACAACAAGAAAGGCAAAGGTGGGAAGGGAAGATCATCTTCACCCGTTGACAAGAAGAAGATTTTCTGTAACTACTTCTTCAATAAAGGAGGATGCAACAAAGGTGACAAATGTCTTTACAGTCATTCTCAGAAGGTCTATGATGCCAAGATGAAAGGTAAGAAAGGCAGAAGTGGAAGTCGAGATTCATCAAGGGGAAAGAGTAAAGGAAGTTCATCTTCAGCTGGACCCAAAAAGAAGGTATGTTGGAATTGGCAGAAGGGTACCTGCACGTTTGGGAGCAAATGTAAATTCCTACATGCAGACCAATCGCCTTCAGCATCCTCAGAAAGAACCAGCAAAAAGACACCAAAGAAGAAAGCGACTCCCATTACCATTGACTCCTTCTTTGACAGCGACAATGAAGATTCTATGGATTATACCTCACCGAGGATAGCCAGCGTAAAGAAGTCTTCTGATATTCGCAGAATCTCATTTGATCTGGAACCTGAAGTGCACGAGATTGCAATTGAGAACTATCAAGAGGGACTACCCAAACGTATGTATCGTGACCCCAACAAACAGTATGTCTTCTGGAAGGTCGATGAGTTGACCGACGATCAGTCCAAGTCCGACAACACACTTGGTTCAGTTCGAGCACGGGCCAAAGCAATCATCATGGACAGATGTGGACTCCATCGTTTTGTTGATGAAGTTAGAATCATTATTGGCCCCAAGTTCGACATGTTGATCAAGCTGGACGATGATCGTGATGACTTGACTTTCATTGAAGAGCTTGGCGAACACGAAGTTGGAAAATCCCTCATAAAATCCAAGAACATGATGTGCATTTCATTACCAGTACAAGCCAAAGATCGTAGATTCATCCTGGATTCTGGCAGCGGACACGATCTGATCTCTGCAAGGAAAGCCGAAAGGATGAGCCTGAAGCAACGAACTTGTGATCCTATCATGTTCCACACCGCCAACGGTTCAACTGCTACTCAAACGGAAGCGGAGATTGACCTGGGAACCTTTGATGTGACCTCTCATGCTTATGTACTGGACGACACTCCGTCCGTGATGTCTCTTGGGAAACGATGCATGGAAGAAGGATACTCCTTTGTATGGCCATCTGGTCAAATGCCTTTCATGATTACGAAGAATGGAGAACGCATCGATCTGACAATCCATGACAACATCCCTTACGTTGATCTTGGAACATACGAATGCACTCCTCATGAATGCCATCATGCATCAAAGATCCATGACCTATTGACACATCCTCAAGTCGGATTCAATGATTTCAACGACATTGATGATGTTGGTCAACCCTCACGAAGAGTACATCTCGATGGAGAAAGTGG